CCCCCCCCTCTTCAACCGGGGGGGCCCGGGTGGGAGGGCGCCAATCGGCGGCCGCCCGGGGTCCAGCCGGCCAATCGCAGGGCCGGGTCCGAAGTGGGTGTGGAAGGAGCGAGGTGAGGGAGGGGAGCGGCCAGGCCGCCCCGCGGGGCTGGGCGACTAGCGATCAGGGCTGGAAAGTGAAATACCCCGGGTCCGAGCGATGGAGAGCGCAAAGAGCGCGCACGTTCAGGCCCTAGTTGGCTGCCCTGTCTTATCTCTGTCTCTGGGTCTCCGTTTCTCTCCATGCCTCATCGACGTCTCCCTACTCGCTCCTACCCGGCTGCGAGCGCTCCCCAGGGCGCGGGTCCAGCTTCACGACCGCCCAGGACTGTAGCTGGGAGTTGCTCTAAAGGCGCAAGCTCCAGCCTAGCAGTTCCTAGCAGAAAGACATGATTCTTCTCCGTGATTGAAGACTGTCAGAGGCAGCCAGGGCCATAACAAGGGGGACGATAACAGCAAGGCACAGTTATGGGGCTGTTTTATGGTTAGGTGCATGCATGTTTACGTATTAACTTATTTAATTCTCAGCCTTCGTGGAAGAACACCTGTCAACACTTGTAGCAGGTGGGGAGCAGCAGGAGCGAGGTCAAGTGGCCCGCGTCCACACTGCTAGGAGGGGTGCACTCCGAGCGCCCATCTCATCTGCCTAACTAACCACGTCCTGACTATCAGGCTCTGGAAATTCCTACAGGGCTCCCGTGTCCCATTTCCAAGGGGTTAAACGCTAGGCTGATTGCTCTGGCTCACTGTAAATGAGTTAGTACCTGAAGCCCACTGGGAAGACTGCGCAGCTCCCCAAGTCCCAGCTGTCATCATTACCAACAAGCGTTAAGCCACCTTCTCTCTGCGCATTCAAATGAGCCCCATTATCTGCACCTTTTTATCACCAAAGTTTTCGTTCCCGCTGAAACATTTGACTTACCTTCTTTCCTTTTTCTTTTTATTTTTTTGTTTGTTTGTTTTTTAGAAAGAGAGATTTTTTGCTATAGGGTATGTGGACTCGCGGGAGAGACAAAGAGACAGAAAGCGAGAAATCACCCCCCAGGAGGGGTGGCCATGTGGCAATCCCCTCTCTTCCATTCTCCTCTTGGGACCTTGGGCATGCACGCACAAGTACTCAGCCTGAGTTCAAGCCACTGGGTCTGGGACTCAAACAGCAGTTGACTTGAACAGGAGCTCAGCAACATAACCATTCGCCATCTGCTGGCCCCTGGCTTAACTTTGTTCTATCCCTTCACTTGCACCATTGCCTCCTCGCCAGAGACAAAAAGAGGGGGGACGAAAAGAGGGGGGATGATGACCCTGAAATCTCTTCTCCTCCACCCTCATCTTAGGATTTGGGGCACGGACACACGTGCGAACCTGCCGTCCCTGGTCCATCGCTGGCCCAGCTCACCTTCAGTCCTGAGAGTCAGTCTGGGTGCAATCATCCCAGGGGAAGTACTCCCCGGCCGTCCAGACAAAAGCTTTCTCACTCAGTTTTCTCTCAGAAAGCTCCGCCACGCCATCGTCACATTTCTGCAGTATATAACAAGACTGGGGACTAGCTGAGACTTGATTGCAGGTCTTCTGCCCTACATCCAATATGTCCATTTTGAGAAATGGGAGAAAAATCTTTCCTGTGGCTTGAGAGAAATTCCTTCATCTTATCTTAATCGAAGGTATTTGAAAGGGAGGATTAGAGGGCCGGTCAATGCCCTGAAACCCATATGAAGCCTGGTTAACTGTGCTTCTACCACTTATGCCTGAACTTGCCGTTCAGTTAAGACCTGTTTGCTGCCAAGCACCAAAAGCCGACAGTGAGAGCGAAGCCTCGGCCAAAGGGGTGGGCTCTCAGCGCCTACTAGCGGCCGTCTGTTGTCATTGCACAGCTCAAAAAAAAGCGTGTGGGACGCGTAGAGAGACATGATTAACCTCCACTTTACACATTTCCAAGTAAGTGACAACTAGACCCAAACGGAATGTGCGTTTCTCTGCGAACATTTTCTTCATATGGTAACAAAGATGCATCTCTTTAGGAAAGCAGACATGAAAACACACGGACAGATATGAAATTTCTTAGGTGAAATTATTCCGTTAAAAATCAAGTACTGGGGAAGGCAGCGGGTGCTGTGGGGTTTAAGGTGGCTGGACCCCCTGGGGCCTGCTACACAGTTTAAGTCCCAGACTCAGCAGCTTGAGAAGCATGCTGGGGGCGTGTGTCCGTGCCCAAATTCCTAAGAGGAGGGTAGAGGAGAAGAGATTGCAGGGTCACCATCCCCCCTCTTTTTGCCTCTCTCTGGCAAGCACAGGTGCCCTATAGCAAACCGAAAGAAAAGAAAAATCAAGTCCTGGGGCTAGTGATGAGGGGCCCAAACTCTGTGCTCGGTGAGGCAATCCCAAGTCGGAAGTTTCCCAGTTCAAGTGAGGCCTCTCTGAGAACTCCAGGCAGGCAGCTGCCCAGGGTCTAGACTGGCTGAGACGGGCTGACTGCAGCGTCAGAACCCTGCTGGGAGCAAGTGCTGTCTCTTTCTCTTTTACTCACTGCAGAAATAAATGTGTACACTTAAAAAAGGCAAAGTCAAGTCTCTTGGTCAGCCGGGATTACAACAGTAATACAACACACCGTAAAGCCCAGGCCACACCAGAAGGCCCCTGGTTCGTGTCCCAAGGTCTCCTTGTACATACAGGGCTCACACATGCGTGTTCATACATGCATGCCCATGATTGTGGCTGGCTGAGGTTGAGGGCGGATTGTAGTATAAAGACTCTTAGGGGCACCTGTCTTTCTGTTCTTCTGTGGCTCTTGCTCTCTTGGAAGACATTTCTTTTTTTTAATTTTAAATTAAAGTACTTTGAATAGGACCTCTCTTTTTTTTTATTTTTTTTTTCTTTATGATAGCATGTGTGCACATGCAAGAGAAAATAGAAGAACCCTCAATAGAGTCTTAGTGGGACCGGCAGGTGGTGTGGTGGTTAAGGGTGCTGGACTCCCACATGGCTGACCATGGTTCGAGTCCTGGACCTGGCGGCTTGCTTTCTTCCTCTCTCGCTCTCTCATTCTGTCTCTCTCTGGTCAAATTTTAAAATAAATAAATAAAGTAAAATAAAATAATTATTAAAAAAAAAGAAAGTTTTAGCATACCGCAATCCCCTTCCTCCAGCCATGCAGCTTATTGGGATCTTAGGCACATGTGCCCGGTGTTTCAGGTTCTCCAGGTCAGGGATCCAAACCTGCATCCGCCATGTGGCTTCCAGCACTGCAGTTCAGCACCTGCTGACTGACATGGAGGCTGAACCAGGGCTTCTCTTTAAAGAATAAGTTCTGTGGGGCCTCTAAGATGGCATTGGTGACTAAGGGGGGCTGGACTCCCACACAGTCAACTGTGGTTCGAGTCCCAGACCTAGCAGCTTAAAACTTACGCCAGGCTCATGTGCGTGCATGCCCAAAATCTGAACAGGAGAACAGAGAAGGGACTGTGGTGCAGCCATCCCCCCTGGGGTTGATTTCGTCTGTCTCTCTGTCTCTGTCTCTCCAGTCAGCACACATACCTTATAGCAAAAATCACTCTTTAAAAAAATACTTGATGACAGTGACTGTTCCTGGCTTATGTGTTTATTCTTATTGCTAGCGTGTACTCCTTCCATTTATTATGAAATAAAACTTACCGTAACAGTATGCTGTGCTACTCGGTGGCAGCGTCGTACATCACGTTACATAATCTCTAGATTCAGTAAATATGGACTGCATCGTTTTCTCTTGTGCTTGATTTAACCTCATGTCGTTTTGTTCATCGTGGCCCTGAAGTGTCCAGAATCCTCTGCTGCATTGTATGACTGACCTGGAAAAAAAATAAAGGCAATAAAGGCATTTTATTTAGCATATCCCACGGAAGTTGGAGTGGCTGGATCCCACATGCATGGCCGACTGAGCTGTTCGAGTCCCAGACCCTGCAACTTGAAAAACACGCCTGGTGCATGTGAGTATGCGCCCAAAACTCCAAGAGGAGAAAGAGAGGAGAAGGGATTGCAGCGTAGCCCTTCCCTCTGGGGGTGATTTCTCACTTTCCCTCTCTGTCTCCAATGAGCGCACGTACCCTATAGCAAAACAAAACAAAAACAACAAAAACTTTTCAAAATGTCATTAAAAACTATGAAGGTGGGAGCTGGCAGGTGGCATGGTGGTTAAGGCACTCCCACATAGCCAGCCATGGTTCAAGTCTTGAACCTGGAGGCTTGCTTTCTCACTTTCCCTCCATCTTTCTCTCTCTTTCTTTCTCTGGTCAAATTCAAAAATAATAAGAAGAAATAAATAATTTTTTTAGAAAATGATTAAGGTGAAAACTCAGTGGTGATTATCGTTCGCCAGTCAGGCACGTCGGTTTTCAGCATAGTTAACAATCATGAAGAACGAGAACAAAGTGATGGAAACAGTTAAAGGATCTGCTGCATTAAAATGTACAAGACTAACAAAAATTCAGGAAGGATCTGTATTATATATGGAAAACTTTGTTTTTTAAATTGCCAGAGAGTACACGTGCTTGCCAGGTTCACAGAGATAGGGAGAGGGAGAAAACCCCGTCAGGGGCATGGTCACGCCACCATCCTGTCTCCTCCTGGTCTCCGCGCTGTCAGGATTTGGGGCGTGCACATGTGTCTGGGATGATTTTTAAGTTGCTAGGCCAGAATTTGAACCATGGTCAGCCAGGAGGAAACCAGCTCCCTTAACCAGTAGGCTACGAGGCTGAACCTATATGGAGAAACGTCAATGACCGGAATTAAAGACCAGACTCACAAATACAGCCTCTCAGCACCATGACAATACAGCCAAAACAAAACTTTTGTTGATAATACT